CGTGGAGTATGAAGATTGGAGAACCACTCCTCAAGGTCCTCTTCTCTGCCAGCGGACAGCACTGCTGGCCACCGTGCCAGGAAAACCCCCCACTGTTCTCTAAGTTCAGAATCAAAACACAGCCCCTGCAGACGAGTTGCCCACAGCGTCCTCCTATCAGGGCAGGCAAGACTCATTCTGCAAGGCGCCGCAGCTTAGTCCACCGTCTGCCACAGTTATGGAGTGAGGATGAGCACGGAGAACACTTGAGGAAAACCATGAAACAGGAGCGCCCGCACAGGCATCAGCGCTAACAGTCAGCCCTCCCTCCACATGCCAGCACCGGCACTAACTGCAGGCTTTTGGGAGAACCATTAGACAAAAGGTCAAAGGCTTTCTAAATATATATGCCTTGCATTTTTATGTTCTGTTAAGTCTCAGGGCTTCACTTGTGGCCCAGGTTGCAGTGCAGTGATGCAATCACAGCTCACTGGCACCTTGAACTCCTGAGCTCAAGTGATCCTCCCACCCCAGCCTCCCAAGTAGCTGGGATTATACACACGCACCAGCACACCTAGCTAACTTCTTTTTTAGAGATGGGTGTTACTATGTTGTCCAGGCTGGTCTCAAACTCCTGGGCTCAAGTAATGCTCCCACCTCCGCTTCCTAAAGTGCTAGGATTACAGGCATGAGCCACCACACCAGGCCTGGACTCTACAATTCTACTTCAGGCCATTTTAAACTTGACTGAAGGTTAAAAAAAAAAAATGTAACTTCCCAGGGGGTTTAGCGGTTAGGATTTGACACTCTTTACCACCACAGCCCAGGTTTAAATTCTTAAGTAAATAAATAAACTCAACTAAATGGACAGATGCACAACACTCCCGAGGGGAGGACCGGGGGTGTGATGGTGTCACTGCCTAAATGCGATTTATCAGCAAACACAATCCAGTCAAAATCCTTCTGGACTCTGGCCAGGCGCGGTGGCTCACGCCTGTAATCCCAGCACTTTGGGAGGCCAAGGCAGGTGCATCATAAGGTCAGGAGATCAAGACCATCCTGGCTAACATGGTGAAACCCCATCTCTACTAAAAATACAAAAAAAATTAGCCGGGCTTGGTGGCGGCGCCTATGGTCCCAGCTACTCGGGAGGCTGAGACAGGAGAATGGCGGGAACCCGGGAGGCAGAGCTTGCAGTGAGCTGAGATAGCGCCCACTGCACTCCAGTCTGGGAGACTGAGCAAGACTCCGTCTCCAAAAAAAAAAAATCATCATCATCATTCTGGACTTTTAAAATTAGAATTTGGGGGCCAGGTGTGGTGGCTCATGCCTGTTAATTCCAGCAATCTAGGAGGCCGAGATGGGCAGATCACTTGAGGTCAGGAGTTCAAGACCAGCCTGGCCAACATGGTGAAACCCCATCTCTACTAAAAATACAAAAATTAAGGCCGAGTACAGTGGCTCATGCCTGTAATCCCAGCACTTTGTGAGACCGAGGTGGGGGGGATCACCTGAAGTCGGAAGTTCAAGACCAGCCTGATGAACATGAAGAAACCCCATCTCTACTAAAAATACAAAATTAGCCAGGCGTGGTGGCAGGAATCTGTAATCCCAGCTACTCAGGAGGGTGAGGCAGGAGAATCGCTTGAACCCATGAGGTGGAAGTTGCAGTGAGCCAAGATCATGCCATTGCACTCCAGCCTGGGCAATAAGAATGAGACACCGTCTCAAAAAAAAAAAAAAAAAATTAGCCAGGCATGATGGCGGGCGCCTGTAATCCCAGCTACTCAGGATGCTGAGGCACGAGAATGGCCTGAAGCAGCAAGGTGGAGGTTGTAGTGAGCCGAGATTACACCACTGTACTCCAGCCTGGGCAACAGAGCTAGACTGTCTCAGAAAAAAAAAAAAAATAGAATTTGAAAAACTGATGGTAAAGCTCATGGAAAAAAAAATACATGAAAAAGCATACACTTTAAGTAAATGAGAAAAATCCTCCAACCTATCAAAATATACCATAAAGCTACATAATTAAAATGGCATAAAGAATGATACCAAGAAAAGATCAATGAATCAGAAGAAACCTCAAAAATACAGACCTTCTCCTGTGCACGTACAGTGTTGCACACACCAGGTTGTCTGGGTCACTGTGTGAGTGTGCACACACACTTGCAAGTGTACACACAAGAGCATGCACACGTATGCACACACATGCAGTGCACACAATCACACAGGCACACACATGCACAAAGATGCATGCATGCACACACATGCACACACATGCATAAACACGTGCACACACCGTCACACATGCATGCACGCACACAGAGGCACATGCACACACACATGCTCACGCGTATGCATGGTCAGACGCATGGTCACACGCATGCACACAGAGGCACATGTAGGCACACATGCTCACACGTTCACATACATGCATGCAATCATATGCACACACACACAGGTGCACACACGCAGGCTTTTTTCCAAGCATATGTTGTTCTGCATCCTGTTTTTGGTACATATTTTGTACATGTTTTTTGTACAAAATAAGAGAAAGCATTTCTTTAGGGTATAATCCTTAAAGCAAACTTGGGGGTCACGGGACACGCACATTTAAAATTCCATTGAACAGGTGCCACTCACTGAGCAGTGAGGGCATGTTCTCTCCACCCTGCACCCATTGCCCAGCACTGCTCTCGCAGCACCCGCCCTGGGGCCTGCCTCGTGATGCCCTCTACCCCGCCTTCTGCTCTGCTTCAGAGGGCACCACCCTCCCTGAATGTAAGCTCTGCTTGATGCTGCAGGTACTTTCTCCCCACCGGTCACTATTTTTAACTTTCCCTGTGGCATCATTTTCCACACACAGACCTTCCTATTTTATATGGGCAAATCCATCCACCTCTTCTAGATTCTGCTGAATGTCTTGCTCAGAAAACCTTAGCTAAGATGTGCTTGGAGCTGGTACACAACAGACTGCAGTCAACTGTCACTGCAAGAGAGGGGGTTGCTCACATTGAAGGTCTTCAAGATGACATCGGGGCAGTGTGGGAGAGGGCAGGCTGAGGCTGTGGGGACAGTCAAGGCGCCTGGTGTTTATGAGGGCAAGGGCTCAGCACCCCGAGATGACTACAAGGTGGGAGAGAACGCAGAAAGGGATGTGGACATCAGCTGTCAAACAACATCTCCTGCAGACCATTTGTTACCGTTGTACGTCTCGTCAGGGCCTTAACGAGGCTCAACATTAGGCATCTCCCAATCACAAATACGTTAAGCAGCAGTAACCGAATCCTGCTGAGCAGTAGAAATACAGAAATTAAGCAGCTCGGCCTGGCACAGTGGCTCACACCTATAATCCCAGCTACTCAGGAGGCTGAGATGGGAGAATCACTTGAGGTCAAGAGTTCAAGACCAACCTGGGCAACATTAACAAGACCCCCCTCTCTAAAAAAAAGAAAAAAAAAAATTTTTTTTTCAATTAGCCAGGCATGGTGGTGCACACCTGTAATCTCGGCTACTAGGGCGGCTGAGGCAGGAAGACCACTTGAGCCCAGGAGTTTGAGGCTGCAGTAAGGTGTGATCACACCACTGTAACCAGGCTGGGCAACAGAGTAAGACTTTATCTCTTGAAGAAGGAAGAAACAAAGGAAGGAGAAAGAGAGACAGAGAAGAGACAGAGAGAGAGGAGAGAAAGACAAGACCAGAAAGAGAGACACAGACGCCTCCACAAATGGTGATTCTGGCAAAAAGAGGAGAGTGAAGCACATCATGATCCTGTTCCTGCCCCACCACTCCCTGTAGAGACGGAAACTGGGGGCTAAGAATGGCAACTACATCGTACATTTGCAGGATCACTATTTTAAAAAGTCTAACAGCTTCTACAATATACCTTTACAACTAGTCTCCTGTGTTAATTACCATAAGCAAGCATTCGAGGAACGAGGTCCCACTGTAAGGTTATGGTCAAGCCCTCCTCCAGCAGGTGGGCCCAGCGCAGGGAATCTGTCTACACCCTCCCCATGCACAGCGGACTCTTCCTTTGACTGGTTAACCCTCCCGGCCTAGAGCCAGGAGGAGCAGTGGAGCCAGCAGAACAGGCCTCGACACCCTGATGAGACTCACCGCAACATAACGGAGCCCAAACTCCAAGAAACACTCCGAAGTGGCTCCTCATGACATAACCAAGTGCGGGCTCCAGGGAGTGCCGCTGGCCTCCAGCTGAAGCCCCGGGACGTGGAGAAGGCCTGCGTGCAGCGGCCTCTCTCCCGGAAGCAAGGGCACTTCCGCTGTGCTGCTTTAATGGCAGAGAGATGGCGTGTGTAAGGGTGGGTCATGGCAGCGGCAATCGAGCCAGGCCACACCTAGGAGAAGGACGCTAACAACTCTACTTCAGTCTGTCATTCGACCAGATTTCTTAACTTACATGCAAACACACCATCTGGCTCTCTACATGGACAGACATGCAGCTCTTGACTAACGGGAGACACCCGTGGTAAACGTGCATCAGAAACCCTGTCAGTGACATTCCCGACAGAGGTGGAAATCAACAGAGGCTGAGCGGGGTTCAAAGAGAAATGTCAATGTCCTTCCTGTCTCATACCAGCTCCACGGTTTCTACACCAACTCGACACAGAAAGAGGACACCCTTTTAGTCAATGACATATCCCTATGGGGCTCCCCTGGGGCTCCCCTTCCAGCAAGCTGGGCACCCAGAGCTGCCTCCAAGGGTGTAAACAGAAGACCACAGGAGAAGAGCTGCAACACAGGCGAGAGGCTGGCAGCCAACGACAAGAGGAACCTGGAGAACAAAGCCAGGCAGCGGGCGCCCCTACACCTGGCCCAGGCTTCTCTATGAAGGGTCCAGAGAAACGTGGTCTCCCAGGACCCAGCGAGGCTGGACTCCTGGACTGTGACCCAGGTTCCTCTGAGCCCTGGTATTCTGAGGTCTGTTCCCAGCACTCGGGCTCAGCACACAAGCACAGAAGAGCCACGCCTGGAGCTCAGCTTCTCATCTGGCTTCTTACTTGACTTGTTCCCAGGTCTTGGTGGCCAAATGCAGGACCCAGAGATCCTTGTAGTGGTAGAACTGCTCTCCGCTGGGAGAGGCAAACTCCCCTCCAAAGACCCACAGCTGTCCGCCACCTTGAGGCACCACCACCGCCTGTGAAAAGAAAGGTGACAGGTCACGGCACAGCCACACAGCAGCAGGGCCAGTGTCACGGGTGACCGGCAGTGGTGAGCGCTTCAGTACTATCTCAGCTGCCCCGCAACGTGACCGGCCCCACACTCAGCCACGTCCTCTCCTGCCTCTGAGGGGAGGATTCCAGAGAAGCACCCTCGTAGGAAAGCATGTCCTCAGTCAAGGGTCTGACAAACTTTCACGGATCCCTAGGTTGCAAAATAAACATCCATTTAAATGTAGACAATGCCATATCCCTTTAAAGTGGACACAGCTGGTTACTTCAAATATTAACAGTGGTGTGGTGCAACCTAGCAGCGTTTTCCTTTTAGTAATATCTACAATAAAGCTGTCTGCCTGCTCTCGTTAATCCCTTTCCTAGCTGTTATGGACCAACTAAATTAGCCTCACAAGTACAATGTGCACCTAAAAGAAAGTGTTTATAGGCCAGGCACAGTGGCTCACGCCTGTAATCCCAGCACTTTGGGAGGCCAAGGCAGGTGGATCACGAGGTCAAGAGATAGAGAGCATCCTGGCCAACATGAAACCCCGTCTCTACTAAAAATACAAAAATTAGCCGGGAGTGGTGGCACACACCTGTAGTCCCAGCTGCTCGGAGGCTGAGGCAGGAGAATCGCTTGAACCCAGGAGGCGGAGGGTGCAATAAGCCGAGACTGCGCCATTGCACTCCAGCCTGGGTGACAGAGCAAGACTCCGTCTCAAAAAAAAAAAAAAAGAAAGCGTTTATGTAATGTTTTCTCCTTTTAGAGACAGGGTCTTGCTCTGTCGCCCAGGCTGGGGTACGGTGGTACAATCATCAGTCATCACTCACTGCAGCCTCGACCTCGTGGATTCAAGTGACCCTCCCACCTCAGCCTCCTGAGGAGCTCGGACTACAGGCATGTGATATCATGCCCAGCTGTTTAATTTTTTGTAGCGAAGGGGTCTATGTTGTCCAGGCTGGTCTCAAACTCCTGGCTTTAGTTCATTCTCCCGCCTCAGCCTCCCAAAGCACCCTGGGATTACACACACGAGCCACCGCACCCAGCCTTACGTGACGTTATGAATGATAATTAAAGACTTCAGCACCATAGTGAAGGTGAAGGAGCGCAGTGGGAGTCATGTCCTCTGGGCCACACACGGAAAGGCACTCTGGCAGCAGGGGATGCCGAGGAGAGAGCAGACCACCAACCAAAAACAAGGGCATCCCTGATGGGTCATCAGACACCACCAGCTACTCCACATGAGGCCCTCCGTGGCCCACTCCCTCTCAGGGCCCCAAGAACTGCGGGCGGCAGAGTCTTCAGGAGAAGGCCCACGTCCACCTGTGGGGAGAGCTGCCTGGACAGACTGCGGGGCTGCAACAGAGGCGGAGACCAGGCTCCACCGGGTCTTTCCTCCAAACCTGCAAGTTAAGCAGCGACCGGGGTCCAGGATGAGAAGAGCACGCTCCTAGGCAGTCCGTAGCAGTAACCACGCTGGAGGGGGACCCTCAGTGCTGCATCTCCACAGGTGAGAGCCGCCCACCCTGCCCAGGTCACGCAGCCCAGCTTCACGTGACTACAATGCACCTGGTGGTGTAATTAAGCAAGAAAAAAAGGCCGGGCACGGTGGCTCACGCCTGTAATCCCAACACTTTGGGAGGCCGAGGCGGGCAGATCACGAGGTCAGGAGATCGAGACCATCCTGGCTACGGTGAAACCCCATCTCTACTAAAAATACAAAAAACTAGTCAGGTGTAGTGGTGGGCGCCTGTAGTCCCAGCTACTTGGGAGGCTGAGGCAGAAGAATGGCGTGAACCCGGGAGGCAGAGCTTGCAGTGACCCGAGATTGCGCCACTGCACTCCAGCCTGGGCGACAGTGCGAGACTCCGTCTCAAAAAAAAAAAAAAAAAAAGGGACAGAGAGAAAAAGCAACCTGAGCACCCCGGCAGCAGGTGAAGCGCCATTTCCCGGCTCAGCCATGGTCATTTCAGAGTTGGTTCTTTCATAAAAGCCTGTTGTTTTATTCTCTCTCGTTTCGAGGTAAGAGTGAGGATCTAGCAGGATGAAGAATGGTTCCACACAGGGCGCAGAGAGGACTGGCAAATGAGAGTGCCAACCTAAGGCCAAGTGTGCCCAGGTGGGGCAGACAGTGGTCCTCAGCAGGCTCCCTCCCAGCACCTCTGAGGTGGTGCTTCGCCCGCCCACACTTAGAAACGGCCACAGTGCCACCCCTCTGCACCAATGCGGTTCCTTTTTTGACCAGACAGCGGGGGCAGGTAGCAGCAGCACACAGGGGTGGCATGTCCCTCTCCAACCCACCCACTTCCAGCTGTTCTTTGCATCTGTCATCTCAGCACAGATGACTGACCTGTAAAAGGACAGGCCAGGTTTCCTATCATTCTAAAAGCCCAATAGTCCCACAGGAAGAAATTGACCAATTTACACCTTCACAGCGGACATGATGACTGGCTCAAGGCCGAAACTTAACAAATGTTTTGAATCTAGAGGAAGTTAGGTGGCACAAACGTGCCACCCGGTACAACAGAGTTTTAAAATGTCATCTCGTGGAAGACTATTCAATGCCATAGAACAATCCTACAATAATACGTCAACGGGAGAGAACACTATAGAAAGAACACATACACGCACGCTCCAGTTTGCATGAAATAGATGCATAGAAAGATGAACTGGCTGGGCGTGGTGGCTCACATCTCTACTTCCAGCGCTTTGGGAGGCTGAGACAGGCAGATCATGAGGTCAGGAGTTCGAGACCAGCCTGACCAACATGGTAAAACACTGTCTCTACTAAAAATACAAAAATCAGCCGGGCGTGGTGGCATGCGCCTGTAATCCCAGCCACTCTGGAGGCTGAGGCAGGAGAATCGCTTAAGCCCAGGAGGCAGAGGTTGCAGTGAGCTGAGATCGCACCGCTGTACCCCAGCCTAGGTGACAGAGCAAGACTGTGCATCAAAAAAAAAAAAAAAAACCAAAAGAAATATGAACTGTACGTGCAGAGAAAACATGCAGAAAATATAAATTCACAGTTTAGGGAGAAGGGACAACAGACTTTCCTTTTCATCCTTTTCATTCTTTACGGAATGAATACTTACGACTTACATAATCAGGCCCTAAAGCCATTCCTGGCCAGGTGCAGTGGCTCATGCCTGTAACGCCAACACGATGGGAGGCTGATGTGGGAGGACTGAGCCCAGGACATTGACACCAGCCTGGGTAACAAGCAAGACCCTATTTCTAAAATACAAAAAATAAAGCCATTCTTAAAAAATGAAGTCAAACGGCCGGGCGCAGTGGCTCACACTTGTAATCTCAGCTCTCAGGGAGGCAGAGGCAGGAGGATAGCTTGAGCCCAGGAGTTCAAGACCTCCATGGGCAATATAGCAAGACCTTGTTCTCCACAAAAACAAACAAACAAACAAAGACAAAAAAAATGAAGTCAAACTCCAGGCAAAAGAGTGTAACCCACAGCACTGCTCTAACACCCTCTCCTCCATCTTAGTTAGAATCCCAGGCCCGACCCAGTCCGACCCAGAGAACCACACAAAGGCAGGCTGATCAGCGGTCTAACAGCTTCGTATAGCCTACGCCCCAAAGATAATGAACACCAGGGAACAAAATAAATATGATTCAAGGGAAGATTAAAACTATGAAGACCCACAGGTAAAACTTCCACTCCTGACCACGATGGAGCACATTAGCTCCCCGCTGTCAACAAGGAAAAAACCAGACGAAACCTATGAAGCAACAACCTCCAGACAACGGGAAGCGGGAAGTGCAGGACTGCGAACCTGAGAGCCAGGAAACATGCCAGGGAGCCCTGACCCACGACTCCGGCCCCTGCAGGCAGCTTCTTCCCTGGTGCAGGGACAAGGGGCCCAGGCAGGGCAGGTGGTCTTGCACAGCTGAGGAGACAAGGACTGGAGTTCAGGGACATGCAGGCAGCTAAAAGTGACAGGGCAGAGCACTGGAGAGAGGAAGCCATGGGAGAAAGAGCCCTGGCAATCTGCACGGGGCGTCCCCTGGAGTCTCTGTACACTAAGCCGCACCCTGGGAGGGGGAGACCAAGGAACCACTACTGTGAAGACAAAAGCATCTTCTGATGCTGAGAACTATCTGAGCTTACACAGGGCTTAGAAACAGGCAAGTTCCAACCAGACAAGGTGAAAAGATGTCACTGACCACACAGCTCATTTACTGAAGACTGCAGAAAGGCCACCACTGAGGGCTAAGCCAGCCCTAGAGAGAGTCTCAAAAGGATCCAGATGATCTGCAAGGAACTGAATCACCTGCCAGGACAAAATGCAACACTGTTTGATAGATGAAAAAATCCAGACACTCAGGCTGGGAGCAGCGGCTCATGCCTGTAATCCCAGCACTTTGGGAGGCCGAGGCCTCCGCACCAGCCGCCCATTGCCTATCAGCTCTCCATGTGTCTACCAGACTCTCACGTGGGAGGAGAGAGGGCGGCTGAGAGTCAGTGCTGACATTACCTGGTGAGCACAGCGCCTCGGAGGTGGACTGGGGATGTCAACTTTGGTCCAGGCGTCCTTTCTGATATTGTAGACATAGAGCTCGTTATACAAAAAAGTCTACAGGAAGGAAGAAGAATGTCAGTGTCACAAACGATACGCCTCCAAGAGAGTGGCGAGAACAATCTTAATCATGACAGTTCCCTGGGAAACTGACATCCTAAAGCAATTACGATACCAGTAATGCAGGGAGGCCACTGGGTCCCCGGGGGGGCCCTCGGGGATGGTGACACAATGAAAACGACCCATGGCCCAGGAATCTGGAAGGCACTGAAAGCCCTTGCTGTTGTTTACTAGGACTGGTCATTCTCCTAATTCAAGTCTAGTTTTTATGTTTTTGTTTTTTCTGAGATGGAGTCTTGCTCTGCTGTGCAGGCTGGAGTGCAGTGGTGCAATCTTGGCTCACTACAACCTCTGCCTCCCGGGTTCAAGTGATTCCCTGCCTCAGCCTCCCGAATAGCTGGGATTACAGGCGCCCACCACCACGCCTGGCTAATTTTTGTATTTTCAGTAGAGACGGGGTTTCACCACATTGGCCAGGCTGGTCTCAAATTCCTGACCTCAGGTGCTCTGCGGCCTCCCAAAGTGCTGGGATTACAGGCATGAGTCACCATACCCAATCAAGCCTAGTTTCTAAATGCACGAAAACTGAGAGAGGAAGATGGACAAACCCCCAGGTTTGTCCCCAGCAGTTGAACCCCCAGGGCCCATCCCGGGCTGCAGGGAAGGTGAGCTCCTGCTTTGGTGTTTCACACACAATTGTGAAACACAGGTCTCTCTGGCCTGCTCAAAAATAAAAATTAGCCCTACAATTTATTAGTACTTTCCCTATTTAAGACAACCTGAAAGCTGAGTGTGAAACCTGGAAACTCACTGGGAGGAAGAACAGCACAGACAACCACAAAGACAGGTGCACCCGTCAAGAGTGATGACGGCGGAACTGGGGCTCAGTCTAAGTCTGAGGAACGGAGACCCCAGGACCACTGACATCATCAACAGCCATGCCAGTGCCTGGACCATGCTGGCGACATCTCACATCAGGCCTCACAGCTCAAGTGCGTGATACGGGGGGGGTGAAGGGGCCAACGTGTATTTGATGTCACTGCCTTAAGTTAACTTTCTAACAAATGATACTCATGCAATATGGGAAGAAAAGAAAAAATATATACTTTACTTTTTGGCCGTTGAAATATTCACCTCCAAAAAGGATTAATTCATCTTTCTCAGGATGAACCGAGAGGGAGGCATTTAACCTACAAGAGACACAAGCGGCAGGTCAGCAAGGTCACCCCCCAACAACCACCAGAGCCCCGTCCCCTTCCTCACAGAATCCTGTCACCACAGACTGGCTGCCTCTGCACTTCCTGAAAGCAGAGCCTGGCATTGAGAGAGGAAGCAAAGGTGCCACGTGAACACCAACCCCTCTACCAGTGCCCAGGGCCGCACTCCAAGGACAGCCAAGGAGCTGGGCTGGCACAGCGTCTGGTTGTTTAAAAAAAAAAAAAAAAAGTCCCCAGGCAGGAACAAGTCCAGATGCCCCTACTGATGTATCAGATGTTTCAGAACTGTCTTTTTTTTTTTTTTGAGATGGAGTTTCCCTCTTGTTGCCCAGGCTGGAGTGCAATGGCACAATCTCGGCTCACTGCAACCTCCACCTCTTGGGTTCAAGCAATTCTCCTGTCTCAGCCTCCCTAGTGGCTGGGACTGCAGGTGCCCGCCACTACACCCAGCTAATTTTTGTATTTTTTCAGTAGAGATTAGGGTTTCAGTGTGTTGGCCAGGTTGGTCTCAAACTCCTGACCTCAAGTGATCCGCCCACCTCAGCCTCCCACAGTGCTGGGATTACAGGCATAAGCCACTACACCCGGCCCTCAGAACTGTCCTCTTTTAAGAGCCTATTCTCTCAAATCACCTCAAAATTGTTCTAAAAAGTTCAGTATCTAGGCCAGGAGCAGTGGCTCACGCCTGTAATCCCAGCACTTTGGGAGGACGAGGCAGGTGGATCATGAGGTCAAGAGATCGAGACCATCCTGGCCAACATGGTGAAACCCCGTCTTAACTGAAAATACAAAAACTAGCTGGGCATGGTGGCACGTGCCTGTAGCCCAGCTACTCAGGAGGCTGAGACAGGAGAATCGCTTCAACCCAGGAGGTGGGGGTTGCAATGAGCTGAGATCGCGCCATTGCACTCCAGCCTGGTGACACAGCGAGATTCCATGTGGGGGAAAAAAAAAAAAAAAAAGGCCAATATCTAAGTATTTTAAGTATTTCAATATACATGCCAGATACCTTCCATCTAGAAAATACAAACAACTTTCTTTTTTTTTTTTTTTTTTTTTTGAGACTAAGTCTCGCTCTGTCCCCCAGGCTGGAGTGCAGTGGCAGGATCTCGGCTCACTGCAAGCTCCACCTACTGGGTTCACGCCATTCTCCTGCCTCAGCCTCCCAAGTAGCTGGGACTACAGGTGCTTGTCATCATGTCCAGCTAATTTTTTGTACTTTTAGTAGAGACGGGGTTTCACAGTGTTAGCTAGGAAGGTCTCACTCTCCTGACCTTGTGATCCACCCACCTCAGACTCCCAAAGTGCTGGGATTACAGATGTGAGCCACCGCGCCCGGCCAACACAAACAACTTTCTATTTATTTCACATGAGAACAAAAAAAGAGCTATAAGGAAATTATATAATAATATTATGGGCTGGGCACGGTGGCTCACACCTGTAATTCCAGCACTTTGGGAGGCTGAGGCGGGCAGATCACCTGATGTGAGGAGTTCAAAACCAGCCCGGCAAACACGGTGAAACCTCGTCTACTAAAAATACAAAAATTAGCTAGGCATGGTGGTGGCCACCTGTAATCCCAGCTACTCAGGAGGCTGAGGCAGAAGGACCACTTGAATCTGAGAGGCAGAGGTTGCAGTGAGCTGAGATTGTACCCTTGCACTCCACCCTGGGCGACTGAGCAAGACAGTCTCAAAAAAAAAAAAAAAAGAAAAACAGAAATAAATAAAAACATAGGACCATTTCAGTCGAAAGCAATGAAAGACACAGTGACTATCTGGCGAGTCACTGGGAAAGATCTTCCCTTCAGAATCCTCTATGATGGTGTTCCCCAAGGCATGCTCCATAATGCCAGCTCCAAAAGATGCTTCTCAAACGAAAAACAGGTTTCAAGGTCAAGTGAGTTTGGGAAATCTGAGAACTCTATTTTCTGTTGGGGATTTATTTGCATAGAAACACGTCACAGGCCGGGAATTTCTGCAGAAAAGAAACCAGTATTAAAGCTAAAAAAGGGGGGGGGGGGGGGGGGGGGGGGGGGGGGGGGGGGGGGAACCGCTATAAAAAAAAAACAGGGGGGGGGGGGGTGTAGTCTGGGGGGGGGGGGGGGGGGAGGGGAGCGGTGGCCGATCCCACTGCATCAGCCGGAAACACGAACTCCGTCCAAAAAAAAAAAAAAAAAAAAGCTAAACAAAGAATCACCACATGATCCGGCCATTCGTTCCTAGGCATTGGTTCAGATACCTGTATGCAATGCTCATTACAGCCTCACTCACCAAAGCCAAACAGGAGAAATAACCTAAGTGTCGGTCCACAGATGAGTGGACAAGCTCAATGTGGCATATCCACAGATGGAACAGGATTCAGCTTAAGAAGAAATAAAGTTCTCACACATGCCACAGAACTGATGAACCTGGACATACCAGGCGAAGGAAGCCAGTCACAAGAAGACAATTCTATCACTCCACTTATGCAAAATCCCTAGAATAGGCCAATTCACAGTGACAGGAAGTTGACCAGAAGTGACCAGGGGCTGGGGGAGGGGAAACAGGGAGTGACCCTTGAAGGGTATAGACACTTGTCCCATCTTTTCGCTTCCCTGGGCTACAATGGAAGAATTATCATCTTGGGCCACACACAAAATACACTAACACTAACAAAAGCTGATGAGCTTAAAAAAAAACTCATCATGTTTTAAGAAAGTTTACGAATATGTGTCAGGCTGCATTCGAAGTCATCCTGGGCTACGGGTTAGATGAAGTTGGTCTAGAGTTTCTATTTGGGGTGATAAAACAATGTTGCAACTGGATAGTGCTAATGGTTTCAAAGTGGCATTAAGTAATCCCACTGAACTGTACAGTTTTAATGATTAAAATGGCAAATTCTGGCCAGGTACATTGGCTCACACTTGTAATCCCAACACTTTGGGAGGCCGAGGCGGCCGGATCACCTGAGGTTGGGAGTTCAAGACCAGCCTGACCAACATGGAGAAACCCCATCTCTAGCAAAAATACAATATTAGCCAGGTGTAGTGGCACATGCCTGTAACTCCAGCTACTCGGGAGGCTGAGGCAGGAGAATTGCTTGAACCTGTGAGGCAGAGATTGCGGTGAGCCTAGCGCACCATTGCACTCCAGCCTGGGCAACAAGAGCGAAACTCCGTCTCAAAAAAAAAAAAAAAAAAAGAATAAAGTGTTTCCCAAATTCCTCTGACCCTGAATCTCTTCTCACTGAACACCTAATGATTTTGGCAGAAAAGTACCAAACACAACTTTGGAAACAATCCACACGGGGCCCAAACTGAGGCCTCCACCCAGCCACCAGCGGCACTAGCCCAGGTGTTTCTGCCGCACAGGCAGATGAGGTACTGAGGCAGCTGGTGTCATATCCCTTTTCCAGGTAGGTCACATCAGAGCCAATCCTGAGGGTATATTCATTTAGAAACTGGTCACTCTCACGAGGTTCTCAACTAATACGATTAAGAGGTAGGAGGTTCGAAGTTATTAGGTTACCAAGCAAAAGGTCTTCATCTCAGGAGAGCTGCTTCAGTAACTGCTCCCTCCTATTAGTAAGCATTTCCGGCTGACCCAGGGAACTGCCAACACCTTAAATTTTTTTTTTTTTTTTTTTTTTTTGAGACGGAGTCTTGCTCTGTCACCCAGGCTGGAGTGCAGTGGCCGGATCTCAGCTCACTGCAAGCTCCGCCTCCCGGGTTTACACCATTCTCCTGCCTCAGCCTCCCGAGTAGCTGGGACTACAGGCGCCCGCCACCTCGCCCGGCTATTTTTTTGTATTTTTTAGTAGAGACGGGGTTTCACCGTGTTAGCCCGGATCGTCTCTCGATCTCCTGACCTCGTGATCCGCCCGTCTCGGCCTCCCAAAGTGCTGGGATTACAGGCTTGAGCCACCGCGCCCGGCCAACACCTTAAATTATATCCTGACATGACATCTGACTTTCAGGCAACATTATTTATGGAAAAATTCTAAAATATCGTTTAAAAACAAAACAAAATGTAAAAGGCCAGGCACGGTTACCTGAGCCCAAGAACTTGAGACCAGCCTGGGCAACATAAAAAATGTCTCTACAAAAAAAATAAATAAAACCAATCCCCATTCAAAGTGGCTTTCCTCGGGAGTGCTGGAACGTCAGAAGCCATTTGCTCCAACAACTCAAATGAAAACGTGGCCAGGCGCAGTGGCTTACGCCTGTAATCCTGGCACTTTGGGAGGCCAAGGAGGGTGGATTGCAAGGTCAGGAGATGAGACCATCCTGGTTAACACGGTGAAACCCCGTCTCTACTAAAAATACAAAAAATTAGCCGGGCGTGGTGGTGGGTGCCTTTACTCCCAGCTACTCGGAAGGCTGAGGCAGGAGAATGGTGTGAACCCGGGAAGCAGAGTTTGCAGGGAGCTGAGATCGCGCCACTGCACTCCAGCCTGGGCAACAGAGCAAGACCCCTTCTCAGAAAAAAAAAGAAAATGTACGTTTACAGCTGGGCACAGTGGCTCATGACCATAATCCCAGCACTTTGGGAGACCAAGGCAGGTGGATCACCTAAGGTCAGAAGTTCGAGACGAGCCAGGCCAACATGGCAAAACCCCTCTCTATTAAAAACACAAAAATTAGCTGGGTGTGGTGGCTGGCACCTGTAATCCCAGCTACTTGGGAGGCTGAGACAGGAGAATCACTTGAATCTGGGAGGCAGAGGGTGCAGAGAGCCAAGATCATGCCACTGCAGCTTAGGTGACAGAGTGAGACTCCATCTCAAAAAAAAAAAAAGTACATTTACCATGTGTAACTTACATTTGGCCCTGAGGGCAACATGCAAACTAAAGGGGAAAAGAACACCCAAATCCTAATGGATATTAAGTGAAAACCAGGAAGGACATCGGCCTATGGGAGTGGCCCCAACACCATTCACTCTGCTCAGGGGCTGATCACCGCGCTCCTCCCACCTCTGGGCAGGTGATGATAACCCTGCCTCTGAGGCCGGTGGGTGGGACTTGGGCACCAGAGCCATCACATGCGCCTCGTTCATGCAAACGCAGCACAACCAAGACCCCCAACTCCCAACGGGCAACCCCGGCTTCCACTCAGGCCTGCAGCAGCTTTATTAAGACGGTAAATGCTGCAAGGTTAATCTACAGAGGGAAATAAAGCAAATCATTTCTCACTCCAGTTCATCCCACATATGTATGAAATCCTACAGACTCGGAATGTTTCTACGTACTTTTCAAATTCATTTAAAATGGCTCATACTCAATTTATGTTTACAAACTTTTCAAATGAGAATTTAAAAGCATTACAAACACAGCAAAAACCAAGGTGATTTTCAGCTTTCTGCCTACAATACGCACTTTTAAAATACCTTAAGAACCAAAGAAAAGCTCACTGGGTCAACACTTTCATCCACACATCATGACCAGTGGAGGAGCTTTCAAAGCTGGCACAGGAGTCCAGAGGCAGCGGCTGTGCCGGAGGCCCTGCTCCCAGGTTCTATGACAGTAAAGCTCAACAGCCTCATTCCATTTCTTCAGAAGTGACCGAGAACAGGTTTTAATAATGAAAATGTTCCAAGTGCCTGATCATTTACAAAACCTGGTGCTATTTAAAGCAGTTTTTCAATGCATAGAAGAAAAGGAAGGCCGGGCGCAGTGGCTCAAGCCTGTAATCCCAGCACTTTGGGAGGCCGAGACAGGCAGATCACAAGGTCAGGAGATCGAGACCATCCTGGCTAACACGGTGAAACCTCGTCTCTACTAAAAAATACAAAAAAAAAAAAAACTAGCCGGGCGAGGTGGCAGGCGCCTGTAGTCCCAGCTACTCGGGAGGCTGAGGCAGGAGAATGGCGTAAACCTGGGAGGCGGAGCTTGCAGTGAGCTGAGATCCCGCCACTGCACTCCAGCCTGGGCGACAGAGTGAGACTCCGTCTCAAAAAAAAAAAAAAGGAAAGGAAACATATACAATGCGAAAAATGCTACTTGCTCACCTTGGTGAGGGCGGGGGGCACGGAGTTTCCACAATCTGAGTCCTCTTGGCATCGAGCGTCTGGAAATGGGCTATGAGCGCTTCCAGGTCTTCCTAGGGCAAGCAAGCAGGCACAGATGAGACTTGTTCCTAAGACCCGCCGGGGAGCCACAGCCTGCCCAGCTTTCCCCCAGTCAGTGTGATTCCACTGGGCTCAGTCACGTCTGTGAATTGTAACATACTGTGCCTGCGTCTGAAATGCGGAGTTTGACACATTGACAAGTAACCAGAGCTTGACCTCAAAGGCAGTTTGCTTAAAGGGTAGATGTGTGCACCAAGTACTATCTCACTCCACACCCCTAATGCTCCCCCTGCAAGACCTTCCACTCAGACAAGCCCATCGTGACTTCACCAGACACCCTCAGCACCTCAGAGCTCAGGCCCGGGCCGTCGCACCTGCATGCCTTCCTGTCTCCAGAGCAGGGTCTGATACGTTTATCTTGCTCACTTGTTTCCTCCACATCCCTCCACCCCAACAAAATAGTAAAATATGAGCTCCACCAGAGCAAGACGGTGTCTGGTTAAAACACTGCCTGCACAGCAAGGGCTCAGCAAATACCTGCTGCAGTCGATCCGTGTAAGATGGTGTCAATTCTTACTACAATGGAGAGTGACTCGAGGCACTGATGTGCCAGCACAGAGGGCAGCACTGGAACCCAGTGTTCCTGCCTCAGTCCCAGTGCCCATTTCCCAACATTTACGAGACACTCCCATACCACACCCGAGCCTGACACTTCAAGTTCCTTCTAGCCTTCGGTGTCCGTCTTGCAGCTACACACACCTGCAGACCATCTTCCCTCCCCCACACCCATCTCTCCAACCTCACCTCCCACCCTGCCTCACTCTCCAAGCTACACCGGCGTCCTCTCCGTTCCTTTAATGAAAACACCGGGTTCCCTCAGCCCGCCACGCCCCACCTCGTGCTTCCTTCAGCCCACCCCTCAGTCTCGGGGTGAACGTCAATCCCTCCCAGAGGCTCTCGCAGCAGGGTACACTGCTCAGTATTCCAAACTATGCAATATTTAGAACACACAAGTTACGGAACTTCACCCAAGACGGCTCCTGTGCACCGTTCCCAGGGTAACGCCCGCATGTACAAACCCACACCCCCCCGAAGTAACCACTACCTGGAACTCGGTGCTTATTGGTCTCAAGCTTTTCTTCACACTTTTATTACACACGTGTATCCCTAAGCAACTGCAAAATAATAGGATACCACTCTTGTGATTAGGTTGCATTACAGACACAGCTGAATTTAAAGAGATGATCTTCTGTAGGTCTAGTCTAATCAGACGACCAGTTATTTTAAAGGTTTGTTTTGAGGGTTCATTAAGATAACATACAAACCCCAGGACTGATAGACTCTCTCTCTTAAGGGAAGCTACTGTTACAATCACCTTAGTATTGGGCACTGGAGGGAGACATGAAGATCAGTAAAAATGACAGGTAACTGGCAGGACATGGTGGCTCACGCTTTGTAATACCAGCAATTTGGGAGGCCAAGGTGGGAGCATCACCTGAAGTCAGGAGTTCGAGACCAGACTGACCAATATGGTGAAACCCGGTTTCTACTAAAAAATACAAAATTAGCCGGTGTGGTGGTGCATGTCTGTAATCCCAGCTACTTGGGAGGCTAAGGCAGGAGAATCGCTTGAACCTGGGAGGCGGAGGCTGCAGTGAGCCAAGATCGCGCCACAGCACTCCAGCCTGGGCAACAAGATGAAACTCCTTCTCAAAAAAAAAAAAAAAAAAAAGCAGAAAGCAGATAACAGCTGGTTACTGAGTGCTTACTTTCCGCCAAGCACCATTCTGAAGATGCCACACAGATGAACTGACTTCCTGTGCCACAACCCTGGCCAGCAGGCCATGCTACTGCAGTCCAGCCTGGGCGATAGAGCAAGACTCCGTCAAAAAAAAAAAAAAAAAAAAGTCAGAGCCTAAGAGGAGTGTGAGGGGAAAAGTCCAACTCCATTATTTAAGAGATGAGGACATGGAGAGATCAATGACGCAGGAACAAAAGGGACAAAGGAATGTGGTCAAGAGCTCCTGATTCAGGACATCTGGTCACACTCCAGTTCCATATCACTTCATGGTTCACCTGTTGGTCTGACTTCCTGTCAAATGGGAATATCAGTGCTAGGGAATTGACCTGGTTGTGAGGATTAAAGCCCAGGGAGCTGTGCCTGGTACACGGCAGGCCATAAAACTGCCCCCGGTTAGCGAACCCAAGAGCAGCAGCCGCAGAACACTCAACCCCAAGTTCAGGACGGATCCTCCTGCAGACCCTGGGCTGAGGACCAGAGGGAAGGAGACAACCGTGATGGCTGCCATCAGCTGCTACGGGATACCCCGTGGCTCCAGGGCCTTCTTCACTTAACCATCTGCTGCTTACTCCTCAGGGCCGCTGTGATGACTATCTGTCCTCTTTAGAAAAACGAGAAGGGTGAGGTTCAGAAAAGTTAAGAGTCTTACTCCCAGGCCACACATCTTGCAGAGGCAGCCCCAGGCTCAACCTCAGGTCGTCCTACGCCAAACCCCTGCCTCTTCTCACCACCCAGCCTACCTTTAGAGGGAGGGAGGAGTGGGAGGAAACGCAGAAAAACGCCCGTGACACCACACGAAGAAAAGCAAGCACGTTAAAGGAGGCAGCTCCGTCGCTCTCCCGGAAGCGGCCAGACACACGTGGAGACTCGGGAGGGGGCGGGCCCCGTCCAGGCTGCCCGGACGCGGCGCCGGGGCAGTTTCTACGGCCTCCAGCTCTCCCGCGGGGCCGGCGCAGCTCCCACGGCGACCCGCAACCCCGGGCGGAGCTGGCAGTCGGACGAGGCTGCACGGCCGCCACGTCGGGCCCCTAGGCCCAGTCTGACTCGCTCACCTCCTCCTTCCGCGAGCGCTTAGACACCTTCTTCTCCATCTTGGCGGCCGTCTTCTCCGCGCCGCGGCCCTTCTTCTCCTTCTTGCCCTTCTTGCCCATCTTGTCGGGTCCCAAGCCGCGATAGGACACCAAGGTACCAAACGGGGCGCGCTCTCCGCCCGAAACCGGGCGCTCGTGGGGCGGAGCTCGACGCACAGAAATGGAGTCACTTCCGGCCTCGAGTTCGAGTCGCTTCCGGTGGAGGTGCCGCTGGGTGCCCTACGGGGTTCAGTCTTGGAGCTCGGTCTTCCGCAGCGGGTTGGCGGGTCTCGAACTCTGCATAAGGCCTCGGAGAAGATGACCCGGCCTGGGCGCAATGGCTGATGCCTGTAACCCTGGCGCTTTGGGAGGCGTTGGCCGGCGGATCGCTTGAGTCCTGGAGTTCGAGTCCAGCCTGGGCAACAAAGCGAGAACCACCCCCCCACCCCCGCCCCGCCCCGCCCCATCTCTACAAAAGAAAAAAAAAAAAACAAACATTAAACGGGCGTAGTGTCTCGCGCCAGTGGTCCTAGCTCTTCGGGAAGCTGAGGCGGGAAGATCGCTTGAGTCAAGGAGTTCCAGGCAGCTATGCGCCACTGCACCCCAGCCTGAGCGACAGAACAAGCTCCTGTTTCAAAAAACAGAAAAGATGGCAGCCCCGGCGTGACATACTCGGGCCATGCTCGCCATTCTCACGCCCTGTGCCCCCACCTAGCCTGTCCCCGTGTCCTAGGAGACGTGCCCTCTGAGTTTTATTTTATTTTTATTTTTAGAGACAGGGTCTTGCTCTGTTGCGCAGGCTGGAGTGCAGTAGCGCGATCTCGGCTCACTGCAACCTCCGCGTCCTGAGGAGCTGGGACCACAGGAGCCCACCATGCCCGGCTAATTCGCTCTTTCAGCTTTCCCAGGGTGCACGTGCCCCCTGTGAAGGCACGTTGCTTAGCCCTGTGTAGAACTGCCTAAGTGGGTGACTCTTGAGCTAACCCCATTTTTTCCCCTTGGACAAATCAAATGAGTGCTGTGGCCTCATTTCCTAGAAAAAAAATTAATACAGTTACAACAGTTTGCAGACCCTAAGACAGACAGTCCCGGCTGAGCGCGGTGGCTCATGCCTGTAATCCTAGCACTTTGGGAGGTCGAGGTGAGTGGATGACGAGGTCGAAAGTTCGAGACCAGCCTAGCCAACATGGTGAAACCCCGTCTCTACTAAAAATACAAAAATTAGCCGGGCGTGGTGTTGGGCACCTGTAATCCCAGCTACTTGGGAGGCTGAGGCAGGAGAATCGCTTGAACCCAGGGGGCAGAGGTTGCAGTGAGCTGAGATCAAGCCACTTCACTCCAGCCCGGGCAAAAGAGCGAAATTTCATCTTAAAAAAAAAAAAGAAAAAAGATGGCCCCTTCCACCTTCCCATTTAAAATGTGCCAGACACCGTTAGGTGCTAAGGACATGTCCTCAAATATCCTAACATGGAGGACTTTTGTTTCTTCATTGGTAGGCTAGAGCTAATGATAGCACCCTGCAAGGGTACTCAATTTGTGGAGCCTGAGAAATAAAGATGGGTAAGATCCAAATGCCTGCTAGGAAATTGTACTCTAGGATTTCCCTCAAATTATGTAAGAAATGGCAAAATCATCTGCAGAGTATGGAATGTTATGATTTGAAAGAGCAGAGTAAAAATGCTTATCATTCCTTAGAAGATGTCATCTTTGGACTGGTAATCAAGGAATAAGGCAAATTAAGGACAAGGACAAGCCAAAATTTGGCAACGGGAAAGCATAAATCAGGAAATAATCTAGTTTATTACTTTGTGTGTGACTCAGCCTTTAATAAATTGTCTTAGGCCGAGGACGGTGGTTCATGCCTGTAATCCCAGCACTTTGGGAGGCTGAAGCGGGCTGATCACGAGGTCAGGAATTCAAGACTAGCCTGACTAATATGGTGAAACACTGTCTCTACTAAAAATACAAAAAAAAAAAAAAAAAAAAAAATTAGCCAGGTGTGGTGGCACACACCTGTAGTCTCAGCTATTCAGGAGGCTGAGGCAAAATCACTTGAACCCAGGTGGCAGAAGTTGCAGTGAGCCGAGATCGCGCCACTGCGCTCCAGCCTGGGCGACAGTGCAAAACTTTGTCTCAAAAAAAAAAAAAAAAGAAGAAGAAGAAGTTAACTCGGCTGGGTGCAGGGGCTCACGCCTGTAATCCCAGCACTTTGGGAGGCCAAGTTAGGCAGATCACAAGGTCAGGAGTTCAAGACCAGCCTGGCCAACATGGTGAAACCCCATCTCTACAAAAATACAAAAAAATTAGCCAGGCGCGGTGGTGTACGCCTCTAATCCCAGCAACTCAGGTGGCTGAGGTAGGAGAATTGCTTGAACCGGGAGGCAGAGGTTGCGGTGAACCGAGATCGTGCCACTGCACTCCAGCCTGGGCAACAAAAGCGAAACTGTCTCAAAAAAAAAAAAAAGAAAGAAGTTACCTTAGATCCAATCAATGACTAGTCACCGAGCAGCCAAGGAGGAATGATTTTCCAACCAACTCCAAGCCTTGTCCATAAACCTAGTTCTTCAAGAAGAAAAATGAAATTAAGGGAAATAATGAGAAGAAAAGATAGAACGGGTTGAAGGCCACCATGGTCTCCAGCACTGCTTGTAGGAAACCTGTGTGGTGGTAGAGAAAAAAAAAAAAAAGAACCAGTTAGAAGCTGAGCAGAAAGGAGCAGGAGAATTTCACAGAAAGCCGGCCTGGGCATCCAGGCATGATTATCTTCTATGATGAGCTACAAAAGGCTAACTCCTCACTATCGCCCTGGGGAAATAGTTCTGTCCCCTCTAGTGTGCTATGACTTTAAGAACACACCTAATCCTTTAACATTTTTCTAAAAATCCTGGGTAACCCTGAGGCCATGCACTTGAAGCAGAAAGGCCCTTCATTCACAGCTCATCTGTCTACAGTACATTACAGTGGCACCCACTTCAGGCCGGAGAGAGGCGGAGCGTACGACCTATGGAAGATTTAGGAGGATCTGGTGGACACGGGGTTTAATACTTTTATTATCTGAAAGAAGCTTGAAGCTAAATTAGAAGGCTCTTGGATTACAGGCATCATGGTGATTTACGTGAGATGGAAATTCTCATTACTGAGAAAGACAGCAAATAGAACATCTAAAATGAGATCAGATCCTAAAAACAGTCAAAAGATTAAGTACAGGGCTCTATTTTAGTAAAATTCACATCGTTGAAACTAATGGATTATCTTTAATCTATCCCTAACTCTTAGAGTGTATCTTTTGTGTGATCGGGCGCCCTCTGCTGCCTTCAAGTTGAAGTGCAGAAGAGAAAAAAAATCTGTTAATACTAGACTAAACTTTTGGAAAATATGCTGACTTCTAATTACCCTCACCACAAGTAATCAATGTGATTGGAAGGTTCTGCCAAGCGTGGTATGGATTACGTGGCTCTTTGCACGTTTCCCATCAGGAAAGTGGGAATAATGAACGAGTTCACCTACTACACAGGATTCTTCGGAAAATCAAGTGAAACAATAATAAAGTTTAGGAAAGTAAAAAAGCAAAATACAAAGGGGTTTTTTTGTTTGTTTTTTGAGACAGAGTCTCACTCTGTCACCCAGGCTAGAGTGCAGTGGCACAATCTCGGCCCACTGCAACCTCCAGCTCCCAAGTTCTTATCTCAGCCTCCGAAGTAGCTGGGATTACAGGCATCTGCCACCACACCCAGCTAATTTTTGTACGTTTCGTAGAGATGGGGTTTCACCATGTCGGTCAAGCTGGTCTCAAACTCCTGACCTCACGTGATCCACCCAACTCGGCATCCCAAAGTGCTGGGATTACAGGCGTGAGCCACCGCGCCCCGGCCGTACTGAATTTTTTCTACTTCTTTGAATCCATTCCAGAGAGAGGAATCATAAGATTTCCAACTATAATCAGGGATTTATCTACATGTTGCTTATATACAATAAACTGTGTATATTTCAAGTGTGCACAGGTAGCTGGGGTGAGGCAGGTGGGTGCTGAGGAGTCAGAGGGATCTACAGTTGGCCCCTGCCCTCTGAGAAGGGCCACCCACTCAGGAGGGGCCTCAAGGGATGAGGAGAAACGAGGATGGAATTTGTCAGGCTTGAAGTTCAAAAATGGAAACCTGGAAACGTGTGTCCCATCTTCTTCATGAAGATATTCCAATGTCTTTCTTTCTTTTTTTTTTTTTTTTTTGAGCTGGAGTCTCGCTCTGTCACCCAGGCTGGGGTGCAGTGGTACGATCTCAGCTCACTGCAACCTCCACCTCCTGGATTCAAGCAATTCTCCTGCCTTACTCTCCCGAGTAGCTAGGATTACAGGTGCCCACCACCATGCCCGGCTATTTTTTTGTATTTTTAGTAGAGACGGGGTTTCACCATGTTGGCCAGGCTCGTCTTGAACTCCTAACCTTGGATGATCCACCCCCCTCAGCCTCCCAAAGTGCTGGGATTACAGGTATGAGCCACCGTGCCCGGCCGATTTTCCAATGTCATAGCATAAAGCAATATGTGATGTTCTTCTAATTAAAACAATAAATTAAAGTGTTTTAATATGTAATATGTAATAATACTATCAAAGCCAAATAAAAATCTAGAGATGGATCTCTAAACAAAACATCTTGTATGGGAATCATAGAATTACATTTTGAGGCATATCCACAGGCTGGAGTGAACTTCGGTATGTCCAAAGAACAAAGATAAGGTTGGGGGTTTTATTAAAAAGAGAAATGTGGCAGGCGCGGTGGCTCACGCCTGTAATCCCAACACTTTGGGAGGCCAAGGTGGGTGGATCATTTGAGATCAGGAGTTCGAGACCAGCCTGGCCAACATGGTGAAACCCTGTCTCTACTAAAAATACAAAAGTTAGCTGGACGTGGTGACACATGCCTGTAATCCCAGCTACTCAGGAGCCTGAGGCAGGAGTATTGCCTGAACCCAGGAAGCAGAGGTTGCAGTGAGCCAAGATTGTGCCACTGCACTCCAGCCTGGGCAACAGATTGAGACTCCATCTCAAAAATAAAAAGAGAAATGTGGCTGGGCGTGGTGGCTCACGCATGTAATCCCAGCACTTTGGGAGGCCGAGGCAGGCAGATCACCTGAGGTCAGGAGTTCGAGACCAGCCTGGCCAACATGGCAAAACCCCATCTCTACTAAA